CATGATGTACTGTCAAGGTCACTACGCTTCCCATTTGTCCTAAGTTCTGAATGAGTCTGAAAAAACTGTCACAATAATATAAAGGTTTCCTATCACTTCTACCCAAAATATTTCCATGGTTTTCTACTACTTACAGAAAAAGTGTACACTTCTTAGAATGGGCCTGAGGCCCCCATGGTTCAGTGCCAACCTGCCTTGTGAGCTTCTTCTACAGCATTCTTCCTTGCAGGGCTCACTGAACTCTTACCCAGGTACTTGTCTGTCCCATTGTTCATGCTTATCAGTCAGAGATGCTGTTTTACCCTGTAGTTTGCCTAAATGCTACTCATTTTTCAAAGCACAGCTTACAGGTCACCTCCAGATAAAGCTTTTCCCCAAACGCCACAGCTGAATTTAAGCATCCTGTGTGTTCCTCCAGCTTGCACACACCAGACATTTAGCACAGTGCTCTGCATAATTAATGCCTCTTAGAACATTTAACTGAATTTTCATAGGATTAATTTTGAGGTAGGATATCACTTACTAGTTGCAAAGTCTGGTTTGGAGTCATCAGCACTATCGCCATCACTGCCTTCCAGAAGAATCTTCCTCTGTTGTGCCCCAGCTTTAGATGCTGCTTTTCTTTTCCCTCGAGCCCCATGCAAATCATCTTCCTCAGTAATCTTATCCAAATCTTCAGGGGAGGCATAAAAATCAATGGAAAACCTTTTGTGACAGGCAATATTTAAAGAACTGAGAGCAGATTCCTATTCAATCTGCTGTTTTTATTGGCCCAGCTTCATCCCGCCCCTGCTTCTAGTAATAGACCACCTAGCCCAACCTGGGCCAATTATAATACATCAGTCTCCTGACAACAGAGTCTGGTTTAAGGGTAAGTCCAAGACCCAAAATGAGAGATTCTCTCTCCACAAATTTTCAAACTGCAGCTGGGAGATCAGCCCCTTTCTTCAGTGATCAACTGCTGTTGATTACAAGCCATGGGTAGTCATGACCCTTCACCAGGGGAAAAACTGGGTCTACAGTAACAGAAAACTAAAACAGAAAGAAACAAAAGAGAGAGGTGAGGGAACCTTGACAAATGTAAAGACGTTGGTTCTAGCTACAGTTTTAGAAATTTAAGTACAAGTTAGAAAAATTGCAGTTGTAATAAATATTACTATAAAAAACTTTTGCCATTTGTGACAACATGGATGGATCTTGAGATTATTATGCTAAGTGAAATAAGTCACACAGAAAAAGTC